TACTAGTGACTGGAAGAGGGGGAAAGGCAGCAATGAAGAAATGGGCTGAGTTCAACCATGTTCCATGGACTCCAGTTGACCCGGAGATGAGAGAGAGAAGAGGAAGGGCTAATTGGTCTGAAGTGTGGTGAGACCTGGAGACTCCTGAGCCCATGGACAAGGACATAGCCACAGAAGGCTAGAGCTGAGAGTGATGCATTCAGCTGATATGAAGTTTATGTTAAATTTTATATCTGCAGAATAGGTACAGTTCAGTAAGTTCTACAGTAAGATACTTTGACTAAAAATTAAATATTCTTTGATTAGAGTTGAAACAGTAAAAGCTGTTCTTACTAATAACAACCACCACTTACTGCACATTTACTTTTAGGCTCCAATCAAAGCCCTTCACTTACCATTATCAGGTTTATTTTCAGTTCTTTACTTTGTATATTATGAGCATAATTTTACTTTAATATTATTCAAGAGAAAAATAAAGCACACTACAACTAGAAACTAAGCAGCCAACAAAATCCAATATGAAGTTAATAATTATTATATTTTTAGGAGAACTGAAATAACTCCATGATCTACTTAGTTGGGAAGATATTAACACAGCAGAAATCCAAGTTTTGAATCACAATCCACCAATTTATTGCTGATGGAGAGGAGTTGCTGTAAACACAGGTGCCTAAAGGCACTACTTCCCAGCCAACATTTCTTGGAAAGGGGGTGAGGAAGAAAGTGGAGTTTTCAGTTACATCTATCATAAGTGTTACCACAACAATCCATCTTCTCTCACCATAACACACATAGGTATATGAAACTGATAAGCAAAATCCACCTCTCTTCTTAAACTGTTCCTTTCACTTTATACAAAACCTCAGAAACCTATATGGCCCACCTGTTTTCTACAACTGGCAATACATGTTTAAGTAAGCCTCTGGAAACATACAAAAAAAATTTTATCACCCAGTCTTCATAAAAGGAGCTCTGGTAGTGTAGTGGTTACGAATCAGGCTGTGAAACTCAAGGTTAGCAGTT